AATCTGAAGTTTCTGAGAGAGCCATACGCAATCATCAAAAGATTCATATATGGCTCGCGAACCATAGGTTGCCGACACCAGCTGTAGGGTAAGCTCTGCCCTGTCAATTAACTGTGGCGGGGGGAATGAATGATCATTGATCGTTAACGAAAATCGCTCGTCCCGTGCTCCCTTGCGTCTCATTCCCGATCCCGCTAGCAGTCACACAAAGACAATGTATGTTTGCTATTGTGTGGCTGCTAGTAGGACTCGAGAATTAGCCCCAGGGTAGAGCGGGAAATCAGGTGAGCTGTGTTAGCAGTCGGTTTCAATACCTCCCAATCTAAACCGGCAAGACAACGAGCCCGTGGCGCAACGGTTAGAGCGTTAGACTTTTAGCCAAGAAGTCACGAGTTCGAGCCTCGGATGGTACGCCAATTAGGGTTGTATATGACTTGCTGCTGATGGCGAATGAGTCACGAATGGCCTACTCGCCGTTTTGTGGCCGGTAGTGAGGCTGGATGAGTGTGTTATGTAACCGATCGCTGTGCTTTTACTCGCCAATATTAATATTCTTGACCTAAACCGGACTTCTGATCAAAAGGTTGCGTGCTCGAGCATCGGGTGGTGCACCACTTGGATTGGGTATGGCTGGCTGATGACGGCTAGTGCGCCAAAAATATTCATTGCAATCTCCCTAGTTACTTTTTTTACTGTTTACCAGCGCCGTCGCTGCCGCCAGCTTATGCATGTATGTCTTCTTGCAGCCGTGGAGGAGTCTCATACTCCCAGGGGCTTCTATCGTCCCTCTGAATCCACTAACGACTCCTCGTCCTCCTCCTCCGGTAGCGAACACACCTCGACCGAACGCCCGCCTAAAGATGCTCTTCGCGTCACCTCCACACCACACACCGGCCTGCCGCGGGTGGAGTCTTCGATGATTTGGTTTCAAGCCTCGCATGCTTCTTCCGATTCCAATTCATCCTCCTCCGACTCCACATCGTCTGGCGACGGGGAGCCGTCTGATCATGCAAGTGAATCGTAAGCTCTCCTAAAATCTTCTGATTTATTATTGCTGCATTAAGTCCGGAGATTCAGATGAGGCCAGTTCGCGCACGATATTTGCGTTTTCAGCGTGGAAATGTTAGAAGGTTGTCTACGCATGATGTGGATGTGGCGGATTCCGGTTCCCTCCAGGACTTCCTTAGCCCGGATCCTGTCTTGCCATCACAGTTTCAGTAATGCTGTGGAAGCAGCTGAAGTGAAAGTAAGCCAGCTTCCTGGCTTCGATGGAGCAGGCACTCCATGCCTCCGCTCGTCAATACGATGGTCTTGTATATCTTCCGTTTAGTGTTCATTCGAAGGGCGTAACGATTTGACAGGAAGGCTTGTAGCTCACCGAAATCCTGATTGGCTTTGATGATCTGGTGCGCAACCTCTTTGTTGATTTTCGTGTTGCTTGCCGGAAGTTGTCGACCGTTTTAAGGTCGGTGCCGTTTACGTCGATTCCGAAGTAGGGATGTTTGAAGTATGACCAACGTTTTGTTCGTATTTCTGGTGAGCCCACTGCCGGGAGGACCGGCGGCAAAGAGGTTCACACCCCGCTGAATGCCCCTTCTGTGGCCGTGTCGATTTCGCAGTCTTCCGCGAAGAGCACGGTGTGGACAGTAGTCATAGATAGATGTGCTGTGCTCTGCATGCGCCAGCTGTTGAAAAGCTACCCGAGGAGGAGGAGTGTTAGGAGCCAGTTTAACCGACTCCCTTGCCCACACGCTGTCCGGACGACTCGCTCCTGTGCTACACTAACGGTCCATCCGC